CGCAAAACACCTCGGTGTAGTTCGATAGGGTGGGAGTTTCTGAAACGTTTCTTAAAACTTAAACTTATCTAATCTATGTACTAAAATCTTTTCATGTGTTTCAAGAATCATCAATGAAGCTTCAGAACAAGCATTACTTTATAGTTTACCAATTCAAAGATTTTTCAAAAAGTAATGCTGGTTTGCTTTAACTTTTGCGTTTTTAACTTACCATTTTCTTATAACTTGTTTTTAGCAATTCAGATTAGTTGATTTAAATCATTTTTGTATTTGATATATTTGAATTTGATATCTGTCACCCTTTAGTTTCCAACTCTCCATGTTTCTGATCTAAGAATAATAAAAAAGTCTGTCGATTTACTAAAGCTAAAATCAAGACAAAACTAACAACAAAAACAACAAAAAAGTTTGATGGTTTGGGGTGGAATCCGTGCTTCGGGCAACATGCTAATTATCTCCGCCGCGTAAAGAAGCGAATTGAAGCCTGTATCAAAGCGAATGGAGGCCATTTCGAAAATTTCTTGTGATTAATAGACTATTAAATTTGAACACCAAAATTTATTTGAGCCTTTAAGACCTGAAAACGGAGTTTTTGAAATTTCTTACAAGAAACTTTACACTAATGATAGCGATTCAGATCTTGACCGGCGCCGGAGCCAACCGGCGGTACTTTGTTCATCCTCGGCTGGTTGTCGTTCATTTTGTAAAGTTTCTTGTAAGTTATGATTACTGTAGGCATGCCATAGAATAGCCAGGTCAAGCCAAAAATTGAATCATTTGTTATTTGTTCGAATCTCTTCCTCTACAAGTGCTTTAGAACACTTCTTATACAAGAGCTTGCATGTTACTTAATAATATGTTCAGATCTTGACCAATCATTACTTTGGCTCAATCACATTTCACATCAAAAACCTTGAAACATCAAATTTTTTTCAACAAGGTACTAAATAAATGTAATTTAGCTTAACAGCAAACTTAGTATCTTTGACTGTTTTTTTGTAGACAAACTTGTAAGCTATGTTTTGGTAGACCCAAATGCCTCGCAGCGCGGCCTGTGTCAAACATGTTCACCACGTAGATGCCAAAATCGCGCTGCAACCACACGATATCCTTGTCGGCTCCATGAGATACCTAAAACACCAATGCCTTTAAGTTACCTTTGAGATTATTTTAAATTTACCTTTAAAATCTGAGAACGGCTCGTCCAAAATATGCAGCTCTGACCATAACAAAAATGGGTCAAGCAAAAAGTCGGCGTCCCTTGTGGAGATTTGAATCAAACATGTGATCCCCATGAACGAGCGATAATCGTGATGCTAGACTTGAGACTTTACAAGCAAGAAAGTTTGCATACCTCCAAATCAACAGCGAAAGATTGGCAAGCATTCAACGTGTCCTTAAGCGATCTCAACTTTTCCACATCGTTCACCAGTGTCAGCGTGGTTTCATCAAGGGGTTTGTAGGGCTGCAAGTTAAACAATTAAATAATAACTTATCACTTAGTGTTTTAGAAAACTTTCATTATACACATACCAAAGGCTCTCGTGAAATCAGCTGATCCTCGGGCACACGCTAAAATGTTGGAGCTCGATGCTGTAGGGATTCAGCTCTGGAGCACCTTTATCTGCTAATTTGTATCTAAATAACTGTTCCTTAAATACAAACCTATACAAATCTAACAATCATATCGAATAGCGAAGGGAAATCGAACGGGGGAAATGGAGAATGAGTATGAGAAAGGGTGGGAAAAGGCAAGGAAAAACAATAAGGGAAAGTAATTTTTAATTTTGAATGAGTATGAGAAAGGGTTTTTGGGCTTGGGTTTTTTTGTTTTTGTTTACATTCGGAGTGTATTTCGGTTTTTCACGGACTAACAATGGCTTTAGAACATTGTAACACGATTTTTGCTGTGAAAATTGACTCACAGATCAGCTAATATTATCGAAATGGTGCCAGGAGATTGTAATTATCATAATTCGATTATCGCAATTGATGTTAGAACTCTAACAAAAGCTTTTCCTTTGATTAATTCAATTTGAAACACAAATCGGCTTCATTGCTGTCATTGCAGAAGCGAGTCGAGTTCTTCATTTTATGACATCGAATTTCCAAAAGTAAGCCTGGAATGAACCTTTCTTTGTGAAGATTTTAAAGAGGAAAACTTTCAAATCAAAATGAATCGAAAAAATAAACTTTTCGCAATGTTTTCCTGTCATATTGACTAGCTAAATATTAGGTTGATGCATAAGTGTTTTCCTTTCTGCCGTTTCAAGCCAACAAATGCACCAATTAATTAGAAAAACCAATTATTTTCTGCAAAATAGCATTAAAACGGGTTTAAAAATATTGAATGCCTGGATTTTCTTCTAGAGCCAAAGAATGCATTTAACACCTACCGTTTGCAAGCACCGTACACCAAGTTCCAGGTGGCTTTGCTTGGCGCTCGTCAGGCTCGTCACCCTCTACTAACCGCTCTTCTCTTCTCGGCCGGCATCATTCTCTTCTGTGGCCCCTGCTATCATTACAGTATCACCGGCGAGGAGAAGCTGCGGAAATTCACGCCAACCGGCGGTACTTTGTTCATCCTCGGCTGGTTCATTTTGTAAAGTTCCTTGTAAGTTATGATTACTGTAGGCATGCCATAGAATAGCCAGGTCAAGCCAAAAATTGAATCATTTGTCAATTCATTTGTTATTTGTTCGAATCTCTTCCTCTACAAGTGCTTGCATGTTACTTAATAATATGTAAATTAGCAATGTAGATTCGTATATTAATTTAAATAATCCACACATAATTTGTCAATTCATTTGTTATTTGTTCGAATCTTCTGCAGTTGAAAAAAAGAAGTTTCAAATTAAAGTAAATTCAAGAAAGATTCTCAAAAAAATCAATCTTACAGCTTCGATCTAATTTTCATTTTTCTTAAATGATTTTCCAAAGTAAAGAAATAAGGTTTCTTTTTAATCGTCGGCAACAAGTGCAGTCAGGAACCGTATTGAACCGTATTGAGATCAACTAGTAACCGTATTCGAACCGAAAGTCTAAACTAATAGCCATTCTGGAACTGGCGAAAAAGTCTAAACGAAATCATCTATATATTAAACTTTTTGAAAGAGGATAACAATAACCAAAGAAAAAAGTGAGCACTTTCTGAAATCTTTACCCATTTTCTTGGCAGTATTGCCTAAAAATGAGCAGATGTTTCGCCTAATTGAGCCCAAAAAAGCAAGCCAATTTTGGCTCAACGCTGCCAACTTTTTCTGTGGTTAAAATCTGTGTTAAAGGGGAAACATTGCGAAGTAGGGTAAATGAATAGAATATTTAAATATATATTTGAATATGATTAAACTTTCTTAACTCAACCACTTATTACGGTGAGGGTAACGTTGAAACAAGAAGCTTTCTTTCGCGTTCTTTATGGTGTAGTTTAAAGAAGCTTTCAAAAGGTTAAGAGATAAAGAATAGATTTAAATAAGTCCCCAGAACGGATAGAGATTCAGAAATGAGTAAAAAGCCTAGGGAAAGAATGAAATGTTTGAATGAAAGATGGTTTAAAATGGGTTGAGCGTCTTTAAGCAGTCACTCCGCAATGACCATTCGGGTAAACGCCCATGTGACACGGGCACACACAGCCACATCTCAGCTGATGTTTTTTGTCAAAATTTGAATTGGCTTGTGAATCCCGATCAATCCTTCAAGACAGAAAACGATTTCTAATAGCTAACGTTAAGCAAAGTGAACAAAATTGGATTTCAGGACGAATGCACCCAATCGTTAATCAAAATCAACGGCTTTTAACTTGGCACTTTTTATCAAAGGTAATCCCAAAGTTGAATTGCATTTCTGATTTTGTTCGTTTTCTTTTTTTTCGTAGATCAATTGTAGAGATTTGGTTGCAGCTTTCTTCTACGGTAATCAAAAGTAACCAAAAGATGTTATTTTGCAGAAAAATAATGGCTTTTTCTAATGAAATCAACCTCAAATATCTTGGTGTTGCGCTGTTCAATTAGAGAAAAAAGAGAAAAATGATGGAGTCTCCGCGCATTGTTGTGCCATATCCGCTGTATAGCCTTAAAATTGAAAATCTCTTTGAATGAGCACACTTTTTTCGATAGGCCATCCATTCTCCTCATCATAACGGTGACAGCAAAAGCGCTGCCGCCGTTCATCGTGAATACAGTTGCAGCTGTTCGCGTGCGATCAACCAAGGATTCCTATTATATAATCGTTTATTTTGATCACTTCCCGATGCCGAATACATCTCGTCAAAATCTAGAAATTGCCGAGCGAACAAACCGGATTCAGTATTGAGATTTAGAGCATTCGAATCCAGATAAGGGACCACGCAGCCCAGCCCTCTTCTAGAGAACTCTGACAATTTTTCCCGACAATTCTCGTGTACAATTCATTCACCTAAACACATCGGCATTAAGCAAAGATTTTCCGTGTCTTCCTGGGGCTGAGCCAAGAAAATATTGAAATTTGACACTGGACGAACAAGTGATATCAGGCTAAAGAGGTTTTGCTCTTATTAAAGCTAATCAATCAAATTGTGAATGAGCCTGAAAGCATCCACCCTTGTCAGTCGTTCCAATCTCAAGTTCCATTCCCGGGCCAACCCCAATTGACTGATTTGATCTATTGATTGATCTGAATTAAACCCAATTTCTACTTCAAAAAACCGATAAAAGTCGAGATTGGCCAGAACGGTGATCATCCAGCCCGCTTCGACAAGAACTGCGTCAGGCATATATCTATCAGAGCTTGCCGGGATAACGAGAAGTTTGTATGTGTCTGAAGATGTTTCCACTTGTCTTTCTCTCTTTCTGTTTACAGAGAAATGGTTTTTCTTATTGATCCTCGAAACACAATCTACTAGACTGTAAGATTGTAAGATTTTCGGCCAAAATCAATCATGGGCCAATTTACAGTTCACCCAATGGCGAACTCGAAACGAAAAGCCATAATTGGAGTTGAAGAAACATTCAATTTCTCCATGTTTTCCATTTCAAAAAAGCAATAGTACAACAAGAAATTAAATTGCAAGTCATATGGCCTGAAAACACTTTCACTTTTGCAATGATTTGTAGACTTTTTGAGTTTCTTAATGAAGTAAACATAGAAAATGTTGATTTAGCTTTGATTTCACCTACATTTGTTTACAATGGATCTTATCTGAGAGATGTCGATCATTGATCAACAACGGAAAACGATCGAAACAAGTGATGACATCGCTTGGATCAGAGGGTGCTTGTAAATCCTGAGTATATTTATAAATAAATATTAAAAATCTTTAGATTAAGAATTCCCTTCTTCTTGAATATCGAAAAACAAAAAAAACTCGATTTTTATCTGCTTACCTCTTTTCCCGTTGGTTGCTTTTGACATCCTCGATGGGAAAATTCAATCAGAAAATCACATCCGACACAGCCAATGATTGAAATTGTCTAAAAAGAATTGTCCATTGTCTAGAAGAAATTTGAACAAATTTACTGGCAGCTCGTTAAATCGTGAGCCATGAATAGCGAACGATGGATCGTTTTCGGTCAAATGGAAGATTGGTTTTGGGAGACGAGGCTCGTCTGCTCGTAAAGTACTGTAGCTAGACGTAAAGTACAGTACTAATCCTTTGATTTCTTTTCTCATCACCTTCCACCCCGGGTCACGGCGCCAATCAGCGTTAAAACGTTCGGATGCAGCGGGATATTCGTCATCAGTTTCACCTCCGCATACAGCATATCGACTTGATCTTCGTCATAGGGATCAAGGGGCATTTAGATTTCAATTTCAGTTTTCTACAATTGTTCAGCCTTTTACCAGCGACCATGTGACATTAGGACATTAGCGTGAAAAGTTTCATCTTTTCTTTCAAAATCAACGAATCGTTTGTTTTTGTTTGAAAGGACAAAAGGTTTGGATGTTTGCCACCAAAGTCTATGGGCATTCATCCCTATCTAAATTCCTCTCTAAGCCCCCGCCAAAGGATTGTTGATATTGAAGAAAAAACTGAAGAAAAAACTCTCAAATCAGTACTTCTTTTTCTCCAACAAAGTTTTGCTGACTGCTTTTGACGGGCACTTTTGAGTAACTTTAAATTCTCAATATTTAACGGAATAAATTTGATGTTTCAAAGTTTTTGATGTGAAATGTGATTGAGCCAAAGTAATGATTGGTCCATCTTTTTTAAATTCATGGTAATTGTCGAGAAGGCCTCAAAATTAGTTTTTTTCAAAATTAGTACCAAAGAATTTTAGCGAACACATGAAATCAGTGATTTATGGAGGATTATTCTCTTTACCTGTTATCCTCTTTACCTGTCATCTTTCCTTTACGCCCTTTTCTTCTTCGTCAACAACGTCATTCCACAAACGATGACCACCATGGGACAGCTCTATCAGGTAAGAGGAAACAGAAAAATCTTCATTAATTAAAGCATCAGTGTTGGCTGACAACAGCATCAGCATGTTCGCTCACTTCCGGTGAAACTCCGTGAATCGGGATAATACACTGCATGCGGAGTGTATTATCTCTTTTTGTCGTTCTCTTGCAGTTCTCTTGCAGAACTAGTTCAAGATGTAGTTCTCTTGCAGAACTAGTTCTCTCTTGCAGAACTAGTTCAAGATGTAGTTCTCTTGCAGAACTAAATCCGCACATCCCAATATTCTTAATCAACGCAGAATTCCATCCCGGCTAATCCTTTCCACACATAGAATCCCTTCTCAAGAGGGAAAAATCTCGGATATAATAACTCTCGTCGAGGGGCATACTCATTAGGTTGAAAGGAGAAGAGAAGGCATGCATAGGAATTCGTCTCTCCACCCTCGTGAGCGCAAGGAGGGAGAATCTCGTCTCTTTTCCTTTTCTCTGGCTTTCCTTTTTCCCCACCAGTCTCGACTAATGAAATAGAATTTTTTGAAGCAAAGGAGAAAATGCCCCATATTCTTCCCAGTCGGGCTTTATCCGGGTTTTCTCTGAAACCTCTCGAATCTCTCAAATATTTTGCCGGTAAAAGAGAGGCTATGGTCCCTTATCTATTACCCTTCTTATACTCCCTTGTTTCTTCTTATATTTTTTGTGGGAATGAACCCTGGTGCTACCCAAAGAACTTCATTGAAGAATTTGATAAAAAATTGATACTTTCAATCCATACTTACAAAAAACAGTGCGAAACGACCACGCAAAAAATCGAAGAAGAAAATAGATAAGGCCATTTGAGCCGGTTGATGTTTTGTTTGATTTTGGTGGTTCACTAAAAAAATTTTGATGTTTGAAATACTAGGCACTGTACTCAAAGCAAGGCTGATCTTGGCCAACTTTACAAAAGGAAAGGGAGATTACGGCAGTTTTTCCGTTATTTCAGAAAATTTCGGGAAATATACTCAGGAAAAAATTGTGTTACCAAGCGGATCATGATAGCAAAATGATTTTTAATATTAACTAAAGAATTCATCAATTCACATTGATAATCAATTCACACATTCACTTGCCGAGGAGCGAACCGTAGTTTTGATTCTTTAGATTTCTCAACATTCAGATTCGTCCACCGCCACTCACGCTCCTCCACCAATTCCCCAAGTGATTCCCATTGGGACAAGGTGGCTATTTGGAGAGAAGAGACAGTGGAGTCTATGAAAATGGACATGAGCACGAAGAACGAATCGGTCACAACAGGTTATCGAATGAAATCGACAAAGTTCAAAAATTGTCTTTAGATTGGAGATTTTTATGTTTTTTTACAAGAATTTTCGCTAGTATAACTAGTTAGAGAACCAGTTTGGCAAGAATTCCATTTAATTATCTGATTAACCATCAATTTGACATTGTTATAGCTAAACGACCCTGGTAAGAGTAATCCTACTACTCTACCGTACCCTTCCCTATTTTGCACTAAACTTTATCTTTCCGTACCTGAGCCGCTAACTAGTTTACCTTATTTCCTTACAAATTTTCACTCTACAAATTCCTTTCAAATGGGTATTCTCTTGTCTTTTGTTAATGAATGCAAACTTGTCGTTAAATAAAAAATTAAAAGAAATTATTGCAAGAATGGGGAAAGCAATCAAGAAATAATAATGTAACAAGAAAAACCGATACATAAATTGAGAAATGGAAAAATCACATCAGAATAGGCAAGCTGAAGCGAGAAAGGACTAAACTGAAAAAAGAACGAGAAAAAGATATTAAGAAACAAAAGAGATAGCTTAGAAGTGTCAATATTACCTAAAAACCTGGAGTTTAGAAAGCACGGGTTAACACACTTTAAAAAAAGTATTATTACACCATCATCACGGCTTCCTCTTGTAGAGCGAATCGCTGTAGTCTTTGAGATTGTGCATTGGCCACTGTAGATTTTCTAGATCCTACAAACAATCCGATAGCCGTGAATAATATTTCACTTCAAACATCAATGCCTGTGATATTGCCGAGGTAAACATAACGGCTCAACAAAAACTTTTATGTTTGAAATACTAAGCACTGTACTCAAAGCAAGGCTGATCTTGGCCAACTTTACAAAAGGAAAGGGAGATTACGGCAGTTTTTCCGTTATTTCAGAAAATTTCGGGAAATATACTCAGGAAAAAATTGTGTTACCAAGCGGATCATGATAGCAAAATGATTTTTAATATTAACTAAAGAATTCATCAATTCACATTGATAATCAATTCACACATTCACTTGCCGAGGAGCGAACCGTAGTTTTGATTCTTTAGATTTTTAATAAGATTTAATTAGATTCTTTAGGAACTACAGTGTGTCCAGCGGACTTTGGCATACTTCCTCTTTGAAAGCAGCCCACCCAAAAGAGCTTATCTTCATCCGAAATTTCGCCCCTTAAAATTTCACAAAAACTCGGCTTAGGAATGCGTTATCTGTTTGCCCATAAAGTTTTTCAACGATCGCCCCTTGTGAGTTCTCAGCTGACGTTTTTTTCGATCCCCTAAATCCGGGTTTTTGCTGTTTTGGGCCGTGAACGTCGAGAGGCTTACCAAATCGAGCTTCCATATAAATACAATGCAGTTTACAAAGACCTCCATCTGGCACCAGTTCCCAACTTCAAACCGAAACAATAGTCTTCTCTCCTCTTGCCTTGCTCTTCTCTTCGCCGTTCTTCTCGCCTTTGGTGCGTTCAAGTGTAAATACAATGAAACCTTACTAAGCTAAAGCTCTAAAGAGTGGCCTTTTCAGAACTGCCCCTTCTAAAAGGTACCTACTGTTAGAAATAAATGCTCAAACAGGCAAGGTTCGATGGTGGTTCACTAAAAAAATGCTTTTAAGGTGTCTATAAGAAACTGTAGTATATTGCTCAAAGTTTTTGTTAGAAAGATAGCCCGTCTAGCTTCAAAATTTAAAAGAAATCCATGATTTTAGCCTCTGTTTCCATGGTCAACGCTGATCCCGTCCCGTTATGCGACTCATCTTGCCCGGTTAGTTCAATTGTGAATTTGAAAAACTCGGACTCGTTACTGCAATTACTGATTGATTATAAGAAGGTGGGATCCGGGTTTACTTGGAAACATTAACATTAATGACACAAGTTTCTCATTTAATTTCAAAAATGTCCATTTTTAGAACATCGCCACTTGCTGTTTCGCAAAAGGCTATTTGAATGGTGGTGCCTGCATTAGTGGAGCCGCCTTCTGCAGCTGAAAAAGACAAATCGAAAACGGCAAATCTCGAGTGTTATGTTCAATTCTTGTATTTTCTTGAATAAATTGTATTGGAAGATGTTTTTCACGAAAACGACAAATGAAATCAGATTTTGGGTGTCGAGTGAGAGCTCTTCGTCTTGGTGACCGTTATACTCATGACGGATTGAGAAGTTGAGTTGAGTTGTACTTTTCTTTTTCAGGAAGACCATGTTTAAATATCTAAGCAAGGTATGAAAGTTAAAACCGAGAAAATGTAGCAGAACCTCAGTCCAAGCGTGTAAATACATGTGGAAGCATTTGAGTTCAGTTGCAATGCCACGTCGATAAGTAGTAGCCAAAGAATGGATATTGCACAATGGACTTGAAAGAAAATAGTTCGAAAAATAGTATGTTGAGTTACCGATCATCTGAAAAGCGTTTTGTGACTCGTTTGGTATCTTCAGAAGATCCAATTTAATCAGTCAAGACTGATAGATCAAAACAAACTTGTACAGACTCTGTATTGGCAAAAAGAAGGCAATTTAGATGATTACTTCTATATTTACTATATTTGTAGGTAACCAATTTACCCAATTGATCATTAAATGTTCTGAATCTAATCCAACCTGAACCTTAAACGTCTCTCCGCCATCGAGACTTTGGATTTATTCAGCTAAATCTCTCATCTCTTTGAGAAACACCATTTTAACTTACTTTTCGAAGCTTTAAAAAGGTGAAAAAGTCCATTGTGATCTTGAAATATGTCAGAGTTGGCGTCACATACATATTCACAATTGCACTATTTGTAAACGATGATACGCAGAAAAGAGAAATCGCTCCCGAATAGCAAATGAGAAACTGGAGGACGGTGTGTTTTGTTGTATACTTGAAGAGCATTCCATCGAAAGAAGCGGCCAAGAAACGGCTAATCACATTTCGAGAGTGATGCACTTTTTTCAAACCTGATCGAGACAAAGAACTGACAAAATGCGTTCACGACGACCAAACCCGCGAAATAGTTGAAAAGCAAACCGGCGATGCCATCGCTTGCACATCTACAATTGAAATTTCTTTAAGGGGCGACCGATTCTCGTTAGAAGTAAATAATTCACTTGGCATTATTATGGCTCAATACGCAAAATAAC